AAGATAAATGTTACTTTGTACTACATAGTATGTTTTATATAGTGTTCATTGTATTGTGTAGTATGAGATTAATTCAGACATACTATATCCACAATGTTGTCATTGTCATGTTGACCTACCAGCGTCAGGTGATTTAAGCATTTTCAGACGTGTCAGTATGCATGAGCAACTTTTAGAAAATGCTTGAAAACACTAGTGTTTATGGAGAACATTTTGAAACAATTATGGATTAATGTGGACGTAGCATCAATGCTTGAAGACAGGATCATGAGGTTCAGAATGAGAATGAATTGTTTGTTTTTAGCATGAAATAATGTGTTTATTTGTGCACGCAGATCTTTTCTCTGGGTTACTGTCCTACGGGCGAGTGGCTTGCAGTGGGGATGGAGAGCAGTAATGTGGAAGTGCTGCACGTCTCCAAACCAGACAAATACCAGCTGCACCTTCATGAAAGCTGCGTTCTCTCGCTCAAGTTTGCCTACTGCGGTACGTTTGTTTTTGTTTTTAGTTTTCTCCTTAAAAAATACCTTGTTTTTAGTTAGAAATGAAAAAATAGCATTATAGAAAAACATGGCTGTTTAATTGAAGGGCTGTGCCTGAAATCTTACTTTTAACTATTGCAGGTAAATGGTTTGTAAGCACAGGCAAAGATAATCTACTGAATGCATGGCGAACTCCATATGGATCAAGCATATTCCAGGTAATGGTTTGATAATAGTGTCTGTTGACTATAAATACCGCAGTGTTGAGTAACTAACTAAAAGTAGTAACACTACTAACCTTAATACATTAAGTAAGCTTGAAAATGCTGCAGCTTTTCCAGTAACAAGCTACTTTTTCCGAAAATTAGCGCAGAATTCTGATCGTAGCAGCCAAGCAAACTGACACATGCACAAGTAATTTTAGTAAATTACGTCATTCAAACGGTTGGTAAATGTTAGCTACTTTAAGTAAAAAAAATACACTCTAAAAAATGCTGGGTTAAATTCAACCCAGTGCTGGGTAAAATAGGGACAAACCCAGCAATTGGGTTGTTTTGCCTTTGTCCCTATTTTACCCAGCACTGGGTTGAATTTAACCCAGCATTTTTTAGAGTGTAGTAAAAGAAGCATTCATTGCACAATTTTTTTTAATCTATTCAAGTTAGCTTGTAGCTTAGCTAACTACTTTTTAAAGGGTAGCTTAAACTATTTTAAATTTTAGTTTTCTAAAATACAGGCTACTTAGAATAGCTTCCCCAGTATTGTTTAACCGTTTCAGATAGCTTATTGTCATAGCACAATTTAACTGATAATTTAAATTGCATTTTTGTCACTATGATGGAGACTTTTATGACATTGTCACAACGAGTCAAAAATGATTTTTTTATTGAGTAGGCTCTTCTGTTTGTCCTATTTTTCAGAATAAATGAGACAAACAGCAGTGCTATGTAACACCTGATTAAACTCACTAACTAATTGTTTTTGTCCCTAGTCTAAGGAATCGTCGTCCGTCCTCAGCTGTGACATTTCCCCTGACGATCAGTTCATTGTCACTGGCTCAGGAGATAAGAAGGCTACCGTGTATGAAGTCATTTACTAAATTGAATGTGTTTGGAACGTCATTCATAAAATTTGAAAAACTGATTGGATGGAGGAGACCAGATTCATCTTTGTTTTGACTTGAACTTGGGAGACAAAAGATGTGGCATGGACGTCAGTATGGACTCTGAGACAAAGATATGGCTGTACTTTTCGACTCCAGGATCGGATGGTGGATCTTCAGAACTGACCTTGTTGTTTTTTTAATGCTGTGAGGAAAGCTGGTAGACTAGCTTCAAAAACATGGAATTTCTCCAAAGACCTCCTCTTTTCTTCTATCTTCCTTTCTTTCTTTTTTTTTTAAACAAGATGAAACCTCTGTAGTGAATATAATAGTAAAAGAAATCTTATTTTTTTAGCCTTCGGAATTTTCACGGAAATGGACAATTATGGAGCCACCGTGTATGAATGAATTATGACGAGACCTAAAGGACTGGCCTATGACTTCGTCGATAATTTTCTTAAAAGCTGACCTGATTTCGGCTCTGTGTTATGATTGTATGGATGATGTATAAGATGATGGACTATGATGTAGGACAACAAGGCTCTGGATTTTAGTGTGTTATTGACTTCAGGGAAACGGCTATAAAGACACTCAGTTAACATCCCATCACGTGAATACTGTATGTTGGAGCATGTTGAAAATTATTTTGACTTTGGTCGCAAAATTGGTATGTATGAACTGTAAATAAAGCTCTTTAAAAGCCAAAAGACGCATACTGTTGGGTAGTTGCTTTAATTTATATTTCTGATGAAATGGAAGAAATTAATTTAAAAAAAAAAATTAAATCTGCATTGACTATGTAGATAAATACACAAATTCTAATAAAATTTTAATTCAAAGAGTAAAGTTTAAGGACTATGCAGACCCAGAAACTCATGCTTATGCTGATTTTAATTTCTATGTAATTTTTAAAATAAATTTAAATGTGTACAAGAATGTGAATGCATTAAATTCATTAATTGTAACCAAGCTTATGTTTGTCACTGATGAGATGGCTTAGTGTATAAAATAGAACTACAATATAAATGGTTTACAATTACTGAATGTAATACAATTTACATTTAATACAATTATTACAATGTTATTGTAAACAATTCTACATATGTAAATAAAATTTGCATTAGCATGAGCTGGTATGTATATATATTTTTAATTATTGATTGATATTGAACCACTTCTCAAGAACTCAACAACTTCAAAAGATGACCACAAGTTTAATTTGTCAATGTACACGTCTTTTACATCACATGGGAAGTGCTACAGGGATATCACAGCGATGCCTTCGAAAAAGTTCCTTGGCTTTCAAGAGAGAGAGTGTCTTCAACAAAATCGTGATGGTGAACATTGTTCTCAGTATACAAACAATGGGTTATATAAGGATAGATAGATACACATATTCAGATAGCATAATGTCAAAGACAGATCATGTAGCAGAGCCGGTCTGTCTTGAAACGGACAAATGCCACTTTGCAGGCAGCCATATTTTCAGCTATTCGGAAAAAGAAAAAATAAACACTGCACTTTCTGCGTAATAAACAGACTGATCAAAACACTAGTAACACTGCTTACTATTGCCATACAAAAGAGAAAGAACCTGATACAATTCCTTCTGTTCACAAACAAAAATGGTGCTGAGAAAAGCTTTATAGAGCAAAAGAAGAATGAACAGAAAAACGTAATTAAGAAAAAAAAAACCTGTTCTCAGCAGGATGTTTGGTGCATGTGATAGATCAATCCTGTAGTGTCTCTCCTTGAACATTCCTGGTCAGGTTGGCAACCACAGCTCTTCTTATTGATGGTGTGCATCAGGGCTCTGTGTTAGGACCTCTCAAGCATTTCTCTCATTTACCTTGTGAAAATGTACATTCAGGGATGTCAATTAATTAAAAAAATGCATTTTTAATTATTAATAATTAATTATTTACTGATACTGATATTGCAATATTTGCAATCCTCAAATTAAAATAATTGTATCTTCATAAAGACTATTGCATTCTGTTCCATGCTGTGTTGATTAATTACATGATTTCTTTTTTGGAACCTATTTTTGTAATTAATTGTTCTGCATTAAACATCACATTACTTTATACATTTTAACAATTCTTACAATTTTTGATGAAATACCATATACCAGTTTTGAATATTTAGGTATTTGCATCATCTTATTGAAGTAGAACAATCATGAAAAGATTTCCCCATGCAAAGCTAAAAGATAATTAAAGACATGAAAATGAGCATTAAACCACAAATGAGTGCAACATCTGTATGATAATCCACTGGAATTAAAACCGAACGGTTGTGGTTGTGAATATTTGCTGCACGAATCCTGCATGATTTACCCTTGCTCCTCATTAGACACTGACTTGTGGAAGGAGGAAATTAAATGCAGGTTGGAGAATTCGACTGGGATTTGCCACATGAATGTCTAATTGGGTTGGATAGGCGAGTGGAGAATTGTTTGTACGCCCATATCGTGTTCATCCGGAGATGCTCCAACGTGAGCCAGGAGCCTCCAAACTCTTTTCTCTTTGGAGGGAAGATGCTGTGCTCGCTTTATGGAGAGAGTTTGCAACTAATGAAATGATTGTCTGGTTTTGGTGTTTCTGTAAGTAGAAGCTCCCTAAATACCTGCTGTCTGTGGGGCTTCCTCTTTTAGCTTGGAGACGGTTCTAATTAAAACCTCCCCACTTACTCACTATGTTCGTAATGGAATACTGGCATACTGCATACTTCGCAGTATATACTGTGTACTACATACTATTAAAAAATATATATCTAAAAGCATAGGATGTAAAATAAGAACAGAAGGATGTTAAGATATATAGTAGTACGCTACATTGTTGCACATTTAATTTGGCGAGAGCCGTCAACTTTGTTGATTTACATTTTTGTTCTAAAGTTGTTGTCCAATAATATTACAAAAAATGTGTTGCTAATTAATCTTCCATTATTGTAAAAGTCATGAAGTTACAGAAGCAGCAACTAGTATTTTCTTCTGTATTGTGATAATTTAAAAGAAAAAAATGTATGACTTGTGATTAAATTTACAAGGCAAAAATAGATGCCGACTTAAAACTGGAAGGTCAAGTTGAGAACATTGCCATGGGATCCAGTATCCCACATAGTATTTTATTCAAGACATTTTGGTAAAACTTAGTATGCAGTGCTGGGTAGATTACTTACAAATTGCAGTCCGTTACTGATTACAGATTATGATGAAAATTGTAGTTAGGAATGTAATCTAGGTTACTTATTTTAGTTAATGCATTATGACTACTGTTTAAGAAACTTAAAAAAAAAGAATTATGTATAATTTGCTGCCATTGTGTGAATAATATGTAATCATGTAATCTTTAAAGTAACTCTAATCTGATTATGAGCATTTTAAAATGTAATATAATCAAATTATGAGTACTTAATTTTTGGAATCTGATTACGTAATCCAGATTATATGTAATCAGTTACTACCCAGCACTGTTAGTATGTCATCTGGGTATTTTATGTCTAAAGAAAATTTCATACTGTGCACAGTATACCTATTACATAAATAGTATGAATAGTATGGTAGTATGCCATTCTGAACAAAACCTTCTATTTCTCAAATGGTTGCGAAAGTACTGCAAATAGAAGAGCTATGGTTGCCCACCATGCCATCCATGATTGTTTCATACTTGGCGCTGTATGTTCATCCATCCATCCGTCCATCTTTGTGTTCAATACACCACCTCATACACCGTGGCTTTCTTATCCCCAGAACCAGTTACAATATATTTGTCGTCTGGGGACACATCACAGCTCAGGACGGATGAGGACTCCTTTGACTGGAGAGAGAGTGAGAGACAAAATGAGACATATTCGCAAATTGAGAAATGAGATCCAGCTAAATCTCACTGTCACAATAGAGGCGTGCAGTGATTTTCAAATCTGCAACAACAACCGTCTCTTTTTAAAACAAGCTTTGTTCTTTCTCCATCGCATTTCCTGTCTGCGCACAGCTGCTCTGTTATTCTGAAATGTTAATAGTGTAGCAGCATTTAAAGGTTTAGGACATCTAAAGACATCTCTAAGGAAGAAATAAAGTCATATGGGTTTGGAACAAACCTGGAAAATACTGGCTCCATACGGCGTCCTCCATGCATTGAGCAGATTGTCCTTTCCCGTGCTTACAAACCACTTCCCTGAAATACACACAAAGAAAATTAAATCACATCTTGTGCCATCTAATAGCATTTATTTTAAATAGGCATAAATAATGAAGGCCCATAGGAACACATGGGCAAATTCAACGATTGGCATATACATCTGCATAGTGACTCATACCGCAGTAGGCAAACTTGAGCGAGAGAACGCAGCTTTCATGAAGGTGCAGCTGGTATTTGTCTGGTTTGGAGACGTGCAGCACTTCCACATTACTGCTCTCCATCCCCACTGCAAGCCACTCGCCCGTAGGACAGTAACCCAGAGAAAAGATCTGCACACACATAAAAACACTTCAATAAAAGATCTAACGCATAAAAATGTGCCTGCAGACAGAAAAATGGATGGCAAGTACCTTTAGGCCATAAAAGTTTGAAAAAATGATATATAAAGGCACGATGACCAAATTTACTCTGCTAATAAATGTTTCAATTTTATTATGGATGACTCCACAGTGCAATACTTCTATGTGGTGTTTTGAGTAAGATGCTTTTGTTCTTAAAAAAAAAACATATATATA